CGAATTTGGTCATAAATTACCTTTAAATTAGTCAATTATCATCTTAAAAAGCGGCTCTTGTTTGGTTTGATTAGAAAACGTGATGTAAACACATTGAAGAGGACATCTGATCTCACCATGCTATGTGATGTAACAGGGAGTCTGTCCCAGCTTTAGAAAAGGTTTCTGTATATAAACAGGCTGGTGTTTGTCTGTTAAAGACATAAAGATGACTCAAAACTCAGTAAATTTGAGATGATGATGAAGAAGAAAAGGTTTAAACTAACTTTATTTACACCCCAGAGGGTGATTTGTTCTGTGCAGTCAAAGAAACCCATACATACATCATACACATAATATAAAATGCACATAACAGGACAGAAGAGCAACACTTACAATTTTAACTTTATGAAAAGGAATAATAAATAAGGACAATTTATTTATTTCATTGCAATTTTCATATTCTAAAGAAATGTGCCCACTGCGTCCATAGGAAGCAGCAAAACAGGCCCACAGCATGACACTGCCTCAAACTTATTTTTACTTTCAATACATTTATAGATCTCATCTTTAGTCCTACTTTAATTGTTGCTATAAAAAAGGAGGAGGGGGAATTGCATCTCCGTCTCCATGTAAGTGCTGTATTTTTATTTTTTTTAAATAAATAAAGTAAATATTAAATTGTTTATTTATGTAGCACAAATTCACAACACATGTCATCTCAAGGAACTTTACAGAGACAATTCAACAATACAGTCAGATTGGTTCCAAGTTTTCTAACAGAAGAAAACCAGCTGATTACATCGACTCATTGCCTCAAATGCAATCCCTCCCACTAAGCAGGCTCATAGCGACAGTGGAGAGGAAAAACTCCCTTTTAATTGGAATAAACCTCCAGCAGAACCAGGCTCAGTGTGAGCGGGCATCTACTCAGGGTGACTGGGGTTAAAGGAGACAGAAGCAGACATAGATACAGAAGGCAAGGGTCAACCAGCTACACAGGCAGCTCTTTCCAGGAAACAGACATAGGTGGTAACTAGATATTTGACCCTTGGTGGAAGGGGGAAAAAATCCTCAGATTAAAAGTTGTGCACCTCTCCGATGTTTTATGATCATGAAAATTCTCAAAACAATGGTTAAAACACACAATTAAAAGCCTTGAAATCTCATATCATGCCAGAAATGCTGAGTTTTGTCAAATTGATTGTCGATTTAGTAGAACTATTTATCAGATTTAGTTACATAAAGTTTGCATTGATTAATCATCCGTACAATCTCTATCAGTAACTACAAGGTAAACCTGACTGGTTTGGCTTTTAGGCAGAAGCAATGGCAGCCAGATGTGGAGTGGACGGAGCAGTTTGCTGGGGCTGTGATGTACCCCACCGTCATCAACGAGAAATGGACCCCTCCCCCATGGAACGGTACAGAAGCATCACAGCCTCCTTTCTCTCTGCTGCTTTCAAGCTCTGGGCATCAGTTTTATACCATTTCCTCATCCTCCTCCAGACAAAGACCCCCCCGCTGAGAAGGACGTGTCCAATCTGACCATTAACTTCGGGCCCCAGCATCCAGCCGCTCACGGCGTGCTGCGCCTGGTGATGGAGCTGAGCGGAGAGTCTGTGAAGAAGTGTGACCCCCACATCGGCCTGCTCCATCGCGGCACTGAAAAGCTTATCGAGTATAAAACCTACCTGCAGGTACGGAGACGTAATAACTGCTTTGAACAGAGATTTAAAACCAAATGTATTGGAATGAATTTGAAATGTTTTGAGAAAGTAGTTCCTTCCTTTGTGCTCCAGGCTCTGCCCTACTTCGACCGTCTGGACTATGTGTCCATGATGTGCAACGAGGAGGCCTACTCTCTGGCTGTGGAGAAGCTGCTCAACATCCAGGCTCCGCCGCGGGCTCAGTGGATCAGAGGTGCTCAGATTGAACTCCTGATGCTGCATGTTTGTAGAACTTTCTAAGATAAACCTGAAGGTCGGATGGATATCTACAAGGGGCGTTCAATAAGTAATGCCCCTGACCCACTTCCAGTTACATCAAGCTGAAATTTTGCATGTGCAATTATTTATATCTATATTATATATTAAGTAGCTTAACCTAATTGTGGTTTCTGCCTTACAGGTGTTTAAACAGGGTTTCTGCAGGTCCTTAAAAAGTCTTAAAAGGCATTGAATTCTTCAAAATAAAATTAAGGCCTTAATTGGTATTAAAATCAGTCTTTCGTAGGTCTTAATTTTTACAACATCATAAAAATGGTTATTTTTATTATGATTTTTTTTTTGTAATCTAAATAAACCGTTAAAATTGACAATTTATTAAAAAAAAAAAAAAAAAATGGATGGCCATTATTGGTTCCGTCCCGATAGCGGAACCAATAAAAGCCTTGTTGCGGCCGGGACATTCGGGAGATGCGCCATTAACTTTTTGACTGGAAAATATTAGCAAGTGTAAATGTAACGAAAATTGTCAATCCAGCCAAGAGTTTTCTCCATGGCTAAAACCAGGGAACATACATGAGGCACAGTGTATTTTATGCAAGAAGTCATTCAAGCTCGGAACGAGGGGAATTAAGACAGTGGAGTCACATGCGAAGCACGAAACAAAAAGCGTCAAAATCGTGTTACCGAGAAACAGCCGGTATTTCTCAGTTTTGTTCCATGCTTATCTCTGCAATGCCTCCACTTATCACCAAATCAAACGATACAAAGAAAAATAGCCGCAAAAAAGACTTAGCACTGGTTATGTTGTGGCTTTAAAACTGATTTGTTTTGTTCCCTGCTAAAACAAAGTTTGTGAATTCAGTTAAATAATTGTTCAAATATATCTGTCATTTGTGTGTTTTTCGCTTTCTTCCTGAATGGGAAGCTTTTCAAAATTTGAAACATTAGTACAGTGGTTTATGTTAAAATAAACCTTTGGGTTAAGTTCTGGCAAGCGGGTTTTTCTTGTGTTTCTTGTGAATTTGGTCTAAAATTTTTATTTCAAGTGGCATTAAAAAGTCTTAAAAAATCTTGAATTTAACTTTCCTTAAGCTGTAGGAACCCTGTTAAACTGAGTCAAGTCGGAATTGGAGCCTGATGAGTGTCGAACAGCGATCTGCTTTTTGTATTTGAAAGGATGCACACCACGGGAGACTTTAGATAAAATGAAAGCAACTTATGGTGATGGTGCCCTATCATATGACCTTATCAGGCCAATAAAAAAAAAGACGGATCACTGCTTGACACTCAACAGGCTATTAGTTCAGAGCTGTAATTTGCCTCTAAACTAAAGAGATATAAATAATTGCACATGTAAAATTTCAGCTAGATGTAACATCTGAAAATGGGTCAGGGGCATTACTTATTGAACACCCCTCGTAAGCCATTTTTTTCCCCCCATGTCTCAATTATACTACACATATCATCCAAAGGATATTTGGTAATTAATTTCGGGAAGTTGCAAGAAAGCAAGCACTTTTAATTTTTGCTACAATTTTAAACTCCTCCTTGTTTAATTCTGGTTGGATCTTTCACCAGTGTTGTTGGCAGAACTGGTTCTGTTTGTTTCCATCAGTTCTTTCTTATGCAGCTTTTGAAGTTTTGCAGTAGAAGAATTTGATGGAAACAGTAAAATTTGCATCAACTAAATTTCCCCAAAAAGTTTTTACGCCCGCTCTAGGGTTTTTTTTTTTTTTTACTTTCTCAGAAAAGGGTAAATGTTTAGAAGAGGACATGGAAACACATTTATCCCATAATTTCTGCGATACCAAATATTCTGCTCACATGACTGATTAATAGCAACTGACATGAGAAAGTCACTACTACTTGGTCAGTGCATGTTTCCCACCTCTACCTCCTGTTTATTATAGTCAAACAGAGCATAAAAATATGACGCTTTGCATCACCTGGTTCTCGCTCCAATGGATGGACGTCTAATGTCCTTCCATTGATGAGGTCAGAGCTTCAAAAGGCCAGTATCAAAGCTGTTTTTCTGTTGCCGTTTTGCACAAGTTTCATCCACCAGACCCTTCCTCCATCATAAGGCTGCCAAAATCTTAGATCTGCATTAATGAGAAAGTTGTGAAGGAAGTTTGACATCAATCTAAGCTGTGTTTCTATTGGCCAGGACGACAATATCGGTAATAAGTTAATGGAAACACGGCAATGTTAAAAGAGCCCACCTTTTTCCATAAAAACTGTCTATTTTGTTCTAGTTTTGTACGGAGAGATGACTCGGATTCTGAACCACATCATGGCCATCACCACACACGCACTCGATATCGGCGCCATGACGCCTTTCTTCTGGCTGTTCGAGGAGAGAGAGAAGGTCGGTGCGGCGACGGCCCCAAAATATAGAGAAAATTTGGAACCATGATTATCCGCCTTCACGGTTGTTTTTTATTGTCTTCCAGATGTTTGAATTTTATGAGCGAGTGTCTGGAGCCAGAATGCACGCAGCATACATCAGACCAGGCGGTGTCCATCAGGTGGGAGAAGATTACTAAAACTTTCTTTGTTTAGATTCACATCAACATCTAGCTGTGTATTTCAGGAGCATAAAGACAGAGTCACTGCAGGAAACATGCGTTCACTCTTAATATGTTGTAGGATTTGCCCCTTGGCCTCATGGATGACATCTATCAGTGGTGCAAGAATTTCTCCCTGAGAATTGATGAAGTTGAGGAGGTACAGGATGTAAAACTCTTTAATCTAAGCATAGAAAGCGGCTACAGTGAGAAGGCAGTAACCAATCAGATTCTATCCATTCAGATGCTGACCAATAATCGCATTTGGAAGAACCGTACGGTGGACATCGGCATTGTTACCTCTGAGGAAGCCCTCAACTATGGCTTCAGGTGAGACTTTTTGATAAATTATGGGTGAGAAGTAGATGCATCGCAGTGTTGGCACCAGAGATCAACCGATACAGGATTTTTTAGGTTGAAACCAATACCGATAACTTTGAAACGTCTGAAAAAGAAAAAAAGATATGTCTATAATTGATTTAACGTAAAATTAACCATTTATAGCGAACTCTGGAGCTAAATTGGGGCCATAAAGTTTGTTAAAAACATTTATTTTAACTGAAAAACATTTTTACAACAGATTCGATGACATGGGTGGAATTGTTTAGGTGCCTGGACAAAATATTCCCAGCTGTTACATTCAAGAACTGTAGGAACTAGATGTGACTGGTTTTATTAAAAAAAAAAAAAAAATGTTTTTATAAAATTTTGTGCAGTTTTAAAAAATATTGTTCAGATTTAAATCTTTCATTTCCAGCTTGAAAAAAAAATACTTTTTTGTTTTTAATATTTTTTCAGGTTCAAATAATAAATGTTCTAGTTTGAACAATATGTGTTTTTTGAACAAACTTTACGGGCAAACTTTATGCACTAATCTGCTGATACTGATACAAGAAAAAAGAACACTAACCTTGGCAAAAAATATTGTTCAGTGATGTATCGGTCTTTTGCTGGTGATTACAAGGTACTGTTACGCCCCTGTCACACCATGACAATTTAGACAGCATATTACTGATGTATGAAAAATCTGGCAAAAACACTGGCATACGCTGGATAAGTAATAGGTACGATATGTATAAGTTATGAGCACGCTGAAGTACGCTGGCACACGTTGACATACGGCGAGTACATAGAGAAGTTTTGAGCATGCTCAAAATTTCCCTTTGTTTGCAGCATATCTGATTGTTGTCATACATAAAGTGTTTATTTGCCCACACGCAACCTGTATCTGATCTTTTCATGATGGTCTAAACAACACAGATCCGATTTGTTCCAATGCGATCCAGGCCACTTGGCTATGTGGTCCTGAATCTGATACGAGTCTGATCTTTCCAAATGCGACCTGTGTCTAAACGGCCAGGTCGCATTCATCCGACCTGTACGCCATTAATACACGACACAGGTTCCTAATCTGCGTCTTTCTACACAGAAGCAGCAAGAAAAACAACAACCATGGCAGATGATAATTCGGAGAGTAGTATTTATGTTTAACCATCTTGAAAAGATTGAGTTTTTAAGGTTGATAAAGATTGCTAGATGCGCTCCAGCACTACCATCCATGTTTACTTTCATAAACACAGAGCACGCTAGCTTGTGACGTCATTGCGTCCTCTATACTGAGCATGCGGGACACTTAGGTTTTATGAATGCAGTTCACACAGGAGATCACAATCAAGTCAGATTTGGAAATGTGAACGGAAACACAACAAAATTTAAATTGAGCATTAAGGCCTGCAGTATGTACGTAGACTTAAGGCTACTGTATAATGGCGTATCGGCAGCACTTTGGTATAATGGGGGCTTTACGCGAGGAAACTGTTTGTACTCCTCCAGACTGCATCCCCATCACAGGGTGAGCATGGAGATGAGTGTGATGGGTCCTCCCTGCGTTCATGCCCACGGCAAACAAACTTCCTAGCAGACATGATGCTGAATCTGCAGTGACTGCAATCCCCCCTTTTTTTTTTTTCTCCTATTTTCTTCGTATTTATTTATTCTTTTATTGGCGGGCGGTAAACTGCAGCTAGGTTAATACCACGATCAAATAAATCTTTTTATATAAACCGTTGCTTCCGGGCGCATTGCTTCCCCCATTAGGACACTGGCTTGTGACATTTCATAGGCATTACGCTGCCGTGCTTTATGCATAAGTTAGGCTGTCGTTGGATGTACACTCTGGACTCATTATGAATACTCTATGCATATGCCTAAAAATTGGAAGAATACATAGAAAGTTCAGCGTATGGCAGCGTTTTAGGAGATTCTGGGATGTCAGGCCAAATGGTCATGGTGTGAGTGGCTTTGGCAGCAGTTCTGACTTTTCTTGTGCATCTATCAGCGGGGTGATGCTGCGTGGATCAGGAATCAAGTGGGACCTGAGGAAGTCCCAGCCGTACGACAAATATGACGAGGTGGAGTTCGACGTCCCTATTGGAACCAACGGAGACTGCTATGACAGGTAAACGGATGGCGTTCATTGCAAAAGACCAGAAAACTTGTTTTCGTTTTGTTGGAGCTTAAAAAAGAAAAAGTTGTTACCATTTTATACTGAGGTTTTCTGTTTGCGTGCATCCAGGTATCTGTGCAGGGTGGAGGAGATGAGGCAGTCGCTGAGAAT